GTTTGTCGTGGGTTTTGAGGTTTTTCTTGGTGAACTGCAATTTCCCCTCCTCGCCCCAAAAACCAGAATATTCCCAGCCTTTTGCCCTGAGCTGGCCCCAGGCCCTGCGCCCCGGCCCGGTGCCTGAGGGGGGTCCCCGCAGCCCCTCGGCCGCGGTGCCGGGAGGGGACGCGATGGCGGCCGCCTCCTTCGCTGTCGCTGCCACGAAGAGGCAGCAGAGCCCCGCGCTTGTGGCGCAGCCGGTCCCCGCAGCACCGCGGCCTCTTCCCGCTCGCCCAGCAGGAGCCGAAATGATCAAACGGGTTTAGGCTCATTACCACCTCCGAACCTCTATAATTGGCCTTTGCTTTTTTAAAGATCCATCATTAGCAGTGACAGGCGGACGAGCCGCCGTATCATCCTCAAACTAATAAGCGTGGTTTCGGATCCCGAGGTGACTTTGCCTAACGAACGCCGCTCGCCGAACCGCGTGCGCGGCCAGGTCTGCTGATGTGAAACCAGCTGCCGAAGACATGAAGCGTGAAAGGGATGTCAGCTTGAAAGATGAACACGTTAAAGAGGTTTGGCTTCTGAGAGCAAAGCCAACAACAAGCGCTCCCTGCTACTCTGGCGCCGACACCCCGGCTAAAACGGCCTCTACAGCCACCGGCCCTGCCAGCGCCCCTCTGGCCGCGGCACGCGGGCCTGGGGGTGTCGTTGCCGCGGGGTGTCAGCCCCAAAGCAGACACGGCCGCTCCCCACCGTGCGGCTGGAAGCCCAAAGGTAAATCCTGTTGCTGCCAGGGGTTTTGTCCCTGATGCCTGAAATCTCGGTGCTGTCACAGGAACGGGAGACGGGGAGGAGGTGAATTTGCCCCCCCATTAAATCCTGGGCCTCGAGGAACCACCTGAGGTGCTGCCACCCCGTCTCACCCCCACACACACGTGCCGGGCTGCGAGGGGACGCCCTCACGGAAGGGAAGGTGCCAGCAGCAAAGCTGATACCAACGTTTAAAATCCAGCGACACTTCGGTCCGTGCCCCCAGGGAGAGTGCTGGGGTGGGAAGGGGCAGCAACACCCCCTGCCAGCCCCGAATCGCGCTCCTGCGGAGCCCCGTTCTCACTCCTCGTGCCAGATTTACATTTTTCCTGAGGATTGCTTGGCTCCCGGGGGCTGGGGAGACGTGTCCGATGAGAGCCACCGATCAAATCCGAGTCGTCACCCACGACTCGCTGCGGTCGGCTCCGTGCTGAGCATCCCTGCGGTCGCAGCGGGGCTGGGAGAGCAGCCTGAGCACTGCGGCCGAGCCCAAACGCACGTGCCCTGGCCAGGCGCTGGATTTCGCGTTTCTGAGGTGCTGGGCTGAGGCGTACGTGGGGCTCTGGCTGGTGTCTGGTGCCGATTGCCAGCGCAGCGCTTGTGCTCCGGTCCGTAGAGGCTGTTTTCACTCATCGAACGACGTGATTTGGGGATAAAAGGATAAAGCGTCTGCACCCGGAGCGCCCCGGGGTGTTCCTGAGCGGGAGGGGGGAGAACCTCGGGGCTCCACAGGCCTTGCTGCTGCCCAGGCCGCCAGCCCAGCACTCCCTGCTCCTGGGGATGCAAAGCCCGTCTCTGCAGCCCCCAAGCCCGGAGCAGCCCCCGAACGGCTCTGCCGCTCCGGCTTTCCATCTCCATTGAAACCTCGGCTCCAGACGTCTGATTTCCATTTTCCCCCGTACTTTTAGTTCAATCAAAGTGTGTGATTAGGGCTCTGCGGGCTCCATTGTCATCTCTACCTAAGTGCTTCTCTGATTGATATAAACAGCATTTCGATATTTACACTGTGCAACGTATCGCTCTGCTTACTTTCCTGGATAATGCACGAAATCTGCCATTACCACGAGGAAAAACAACACAAAAAAAGAAGTCCCTGCAGAAAGCTGCCGGGAGGGGAGGAGGGGAGAGCAGCGCCGATGTCCTGATGGGCCAGGGCTGTGCCCCGTCACCCTGAGGAGCAGCACCTGGGGCTCGTCCCATCACCTGGGCACCTTATATAGGGGGGTGGGAGCAGAGGGGGGATCTTAGCACCTGCAGCATCTCGGAGAGTTGTGCTGGAAGCGGCTGGTCTGTGCCCTGAGTGCTGGATCAGCTCCAGGCTTGGCCTGGCTTTAAGTCTCAGCAGCCTCAGGGCTGGTCCTGAGCCTGGAGCTCGGCCCTGGCATCTCCAGGGCCCCGCAGCGTGCTCCAGTGCCCATCCCACCCTCCTGCCACGTCCTCGCCCCGGAGAGAGGTAAGCGAGAGGCCGGGGCAGCCTCGAGCGGCGCAGGGTGCCTGGGGAGGGAGGTGAGCTCTGAGGGGGCGAACAAAAGCAGCCGGTGCTCTGGGCTTGTTACTGCCCTGAGCTCCAGAAGCTGCTCTCCTCCGTGTCTGCGGGACTGTGTGTAAAGTCAGCACCTGACGAACGAATCTTCCTCGTCTGAGATACTGTTTGGGGAGGGAAGCAGAAGTTCCTTTTGATGAAAATGCTGGTTATTTGAAAAAAGCGGAGGCAATTGTGCTTTTTAAAGGAGGAAATGCACTTGCTGTCTGAAATGCAACAGTTCCTCGGGGCTTTTTGCAAACTCCCCAACTCCCTCTCGCGAGCGTCGTTTGGCTTCCCCAGGTGGAAGCTCCTGTGTGCGGGTCTGCAGAGGTGGAGCGGGGGCAAGGCGGGGTTCCTGGGGTACCCGCGGGCACTGGGGCTTGTTGGGGAGCTCGTCAGAAGCTGTTGGTTGTTTCAGTTGCTGCAGAAAACAAAGTTTTTTCCTGTATTTTACTTGGTCAGAAGCGTTGTGCTTCAAGTTTCCCGTTGGACTTGGAGGAATAACCCCGACTGCGGCGCCGTTCCCTCTGCCCCCTCCTCCCAGGGGCAGAAGCAGGCGCGGATGCTCGGCTGATTTTCTCAGTTGCGTGTGCTTCGATATGATTTTAGTTAAATTACACATAATTAATAAACGGGTGAGCTGCTGGGATCCTGCCCCAGGTCTCACCCTGTGGCTTTTGCTTCCCGAGAGGCTCCTGCCCGCAGCAGGGCTGGGGCACAGCGCCGGGAACAAAAGACGCCTCTTCCTCCGCGTGGTGCAGAGGATCCCGAACAAAAGGTTCACGTTCCCCGCGCACTTCTCTTTCTTCCTCTCACTCGCCTTTCTTTTCTCCTGCTCTTCGATGGAGATTTAAACAGGTCTCTTTTGGGTTTGAATTTCTCTGTGCTGCAAGAAGAAACTAGCAATTAACTATTATAAGGCTGTTTTACAGTCCTGTGGAAACCCTTGCCATCCACTTGGTTTTAAATGGGTATATCTTTTATTCCTAGTTTTCGGGAGTGTAAAACTTTACAGCATTTGCTGCAAACCTTCATACTTTGCTTTGCAGTTTATTGCTCCCTCTGCAGATATATCTTACTCATAAATAAGGCTTTCATCTCTGCAGGACTGGTGTAGGAGCTGCAGTGCCTCTGAGCAGCTTCATTAATGGGACTTTGCCTCGAAATCTGGGCAGGATTCATCTCGCAGCCCGGCCTCGCCTTGGCCCGGCGGCGCAGAGCTCCACGGAAGCGCCATGGCAGCGGCAGGCTGCTCGGCCGGGCGATTCACACCCCGGGCAGCGAGTCCCTGTGGCTCTGGGGCCGCGGAAGGTGGCCCTGGAGTGGGGTGTGAGCTGGGTCCCGGCGCCGGGGGGCTCTGGGTGCGGAGGTGCTGCAGCCGCGGAGCACGGGGAAGGGGAACGGGCGCCCCGAGCTGGGCTGGTCAGGACAGTCCCGCTGCGCGTCCGAGGGGCGAAGGCACCCAGGGC